TTTTCATGGACTCGAGCAGGCTGAAATAAGATCACATGTAGATGCCCAAGTTTACTTATGCGCCTGATAGGTGGAACAGAATCTAACCCAATGTGAGTCTGAGGAGTGAAGTGATACCAGTGTACAGTTTGTTTCTCACTTCCATTGTACAGATGCTAAGGTCAAAGCTTTCCACCGTGGCCAATGACATGGACCTCCTTTCTCTGGGACACTCTGAAGGCTCTCATTTGCAGAGGGTAATGCTCTACACTTCATGAAAATTAGGGTAATGCAAGGTATCTCCAGTTGGGCACCTAAAATTAAAGTTCTCAAAATATCAAGAGAAGTCCTCTAATTTCAAGAGAACATTCAAGCTTCTCACAAGTCAGGAAATACTCAGGTAAATGGGGAACTTTGACTGGGGTATGCCAATATTCCTGCTGGGAGCAAAGCCAGAGGTTCCTGGGAAGAGGGTTTTGCCCCTCTGCTCAGGATCAGACTGATCACCATATTTGAGATCAGGAAGGAATTTTACCCTATGGTCAGATTGGTATGTACTGTGGGGGTCCTTGCCTTCCTCTGCTGTGGGGACATGGCTCTGTACCCAGGATCTCTTGAGCAGACATTGACAACATTTCACAGAAACAGGACATTGGCTGCTGTGGTTCCCCTGCTTTGCCTGTGGCAAGTTAGGGTATTAGGTTTATGTTGTGTCAGGGTTGCGAGTAGTCTTAAGTCGAGTTTAGATTATAGTTGTCTGTGATAGTTTGGATAGGGATGATCTTGTCTTGGGCAGGGCGCTGGACTGGATGACCTCTGGAGGTCCCTTCCAGCCCTACTTCTCCATGTTTCTATGATTCTCTATGAAATGCTCCCATTAAATCCCAAACTCTGTCCCCTTATCCATAAGCACAAGAGACTCTCCAAATACATGATCAAGTACTGTACAAATAATGGCACAACCTACAGCTTTTGTTGACAACCATGTATTTTTTGACAACTTCTAAGTGCTACTCTCTGTATGACTGACAATCAGAGCCCACAAAAGCCACTCATTTATTTGAGGCTCATAAATGAGTGGTGAAACTTGGCTCTGTTCGATACAAGCAGTTGTTCTCACTGAGGCATGGCTTCTGCAAGGCCTTGCTGTATGTAGCAGCCAGACGCATACAGTTTTGCACTGCACTGAAAGCTCCATGGTGCTCGCATAAAGATCTCAGCTGTGCAAGTTAAACAGCCTGATTGCAGTACAGGTCTGAACCCACATGCACTAAAGTCCATGGGAAAACTCCAGTTGATTTTGATAGGGATTCAATGCACACTTGAGAAGACTGAGCTGAAAAAGACAAGCCTTTTGATTTCACACTAAAAGAGATTGGGGCCCAGACACAGTCCCCATAGATGTTTTTAAAGACAGGCAGTTTTTCATGAGGCAAAGCTTCCGTGGTCTCCTGATTAATACAATGGGCATTTTCCTGTATGCGAGGGAAGCAGAGGCCTATGCACCAGCCCTGTCCCGGTGGTGCACAAGGATTTAGCCCAGCGTGGGCGTTCTGAATCATTTACTTTCTCATCATCATTGGGCAAGGGGAAGTGAAGCAGGGCTAGGAGGTGCACCATGAGAACATAAGAATTGCTATTTATTGGGTCGGACCATGTCGCAGTGGCAGAGAGTAGATGCTGAGTCTGCTTCTGATCTGACACCATCAGATGAATGCTCCAGACCTCTCCCCCCATTTTGCTGCTGGCCCGTTCTTCTGCTTTGCTATTGAACAAGGGGAAGGGACAGTGAAAAAATGTTCCCTGGAGCTGAAATGAAAGCTGCTGGCCCTTGAATGAACCCAGACAGAGCTGGGAAAGGGGTGATGTCATCAAGCTGCGGTCCCTTAAAGGGAACTCCCACACAGTGGGGCATTGTGAGCCAGCTCCTGCTTCAGGCCCTGGCAAGTGGTTTCATAATAAGAGCAGTCACCCCTTCCCAGTTCAAGATATGTGGCAAACTTCCCACTCAGCCTCAGCTGGCTGGCCAGGCTTGGGAAGGGTTTCTATCTCCTGAGTCACTCCTACTCTTGGGCTAGGATGTTCATGAAGGGAAGCAAGTTTTTGGTTACAAAATACTGTGGGGATGAGAATGTCAAAAGATAGTTTCTTTTCACACAGGAACATGAGGCCAAATAGACAGAGACTTAAGGGAGTCTGAGGCCTAGTGACGTCCACCTTCTTCCCAACCCTCAGTGCGTGGCTTCCACGCAGAACAGACATTGCATTTGTCTCTGGACAAGTTGTGTCCATGTTGGTACCGGAACAGAAATATCCTGAGATTGGCATGATCTGGGTTTAGTGAGCGACTGAATGCACTGCCACCTTTCTGCCACTGATTCAATGATGCAATCCCAGGACTGCACTTTGTCTCAGGATAGAATGGCTTATCCTGGGACAAATGTGATGTGTTTGTAGCCTTAAACCAACTTAGCTTCTCTTAAGATGTGACTTTGCTTAGACTCACACCACTTGGCCACTAAGCTTAAATTAGTGCCACTTCGGCCTAGCCTAAATGGAAGACTAAAGTTGTGCCTAAATCTTATTTTGTTAAATCAGTACAAACTGTCAGCTTAAGCAGTATGTAGAGTTCAAACTGAATTAGGCCTATTCTTTACTGGCCTGAGTGAAAGTGAAGTGAGAGTGTTTACTCAGGGTTCTGTACCAGGTCAAGTAGATAATTTTAAAACCATTTTAAGTTAAACTGGTGCAACTTTCTCCTTTAGATAAAGCCTGAGATACCAAAGGGGTCACAAGTGATGGGGAAATCAATAAACATTGGTAAAAGGAGGGTATACATTTCAATAGGGAATCCGCAACTTCCTCTCATGCCTGCCCTAACTCTCCATGGAATGCAAGTTTGACTCCATTAGGCTTGGTGGCCAAATTCAGAGAGGGTGGAAAAGTAGATGATCTCTACAAGACAGTGAGCAAGTCCAAAATAGTGTAACTGAATGCTAAGGAAATTGGGAAAGACTTCAAGTTTTCCTGGTTTCATTTGCACACACTTTGGAATATAAGTCCCAGACTTGGCATTGTCTACTTTCTTTAACTAATTGTAAAAAGGCAGCTACATAACCCCCCAAATAATGGTTAGTGTTTCATGACTCATCACATGGCTGCTCAAGTAATTAATAGACTACAATAAAATCCACACAAGCTCTATGCTTTATTTCACAGGAGCTGGGAAAAAGGTTAAGTATCAACTGTTTTAGCATATGGTAACTTTGGCTTATTGGGAAATCTTTCCAGGGTCAGGTCTTCAAAGATGCCCATGCACAACTGTATAGTTTCAAGTGAGGAGCATCAGCCAAGACCTGTGCTCTGGGCATGCTCATGCAGAGCTCTGCCAAATCTTGTCATCCCCTACTCAGTAAAACAACACCAAAGGTATTGTACTCTGAAGAGCCAGATGTAGGAGCTGCCCCCAGGTGTGCAGCTGTCATCTCTCTCAATGCAAAGCATTAATTTGCTCCAGCCTGAATCTATACACAGTGCCTCAGAGTTCCCTCTTTTCTCCTTCTGACATAGTACCCAATTCCTACCACTCCTCCCTTTACAAATTAAATATGCTCAGTCTTTCTGTCCTCCTCAGCAAAACCCTTGTCCAGACCTGAATCTGATCTTTCACGGTCTTTCCATGGTGAAAACCCGCACAGCACCAGAACCCCCATCTCCTGCTTTATTGGAGAAGGGGATCAGCCATCTTTAAGCCATTCCTCCTTTATTAGATTCACACTCCCTTTTCCCCATAAACTTTGAACCTATTGCCCTTGCTCATAAGGCCCTGAAAAATCTGCTTTCTGCCTGCTGATCTGCTCTTCTCACCTTCCTCTGCCCTCTTCCTTACACCCAACCTCTAAGGGTCAACCACCCCTGTTGTATCTTCCCTCTACCTTTGTTGCTTAGACTTCTTGCACATGTCTACCTTACCTAGTCTGGCATGTCTTCATCCTCTTCTGCTAAACATCCTTCCTCAAAACACATTTATTTTAGCAGGACTAGCTACCACTGTGCTTCCAACTCCCGAAGTTAGAAGACTTCATAGATGCAAAAGGACTATTAGATGACACTATGGATATGGAACTATGCTGGGGGGCTCCTCTCATAGGAACAGGCACTGCGTGAAAAATACCACTAGCATGATAGTTTCATTTGCTCTTTTTCAGATGCAAAATAGGATTATTGTAATAACTGATTAAGACTGACTCTCCAAATTTCCTTTACATGTTAGTCAGGGCTAAGAAAAATGGAAGAAAACGTGAGAAGACAAGAAGTAAAGGTAAGGGCTGGCTAGTGTAATGACATATAACTGACATAAAAGACCCTGCTGTTAAATGGATGGATGGATGGAAAAACACTCTTTCCTGCAGTGATTTAAAGCAAAGGGAAGGGTTTATTCATATACTTTATGCTGAGAACAACTGTCTAACACACTAATACCAACTATGTCACTCCATGGCTTTGGGAAAGTCATGTTAGTCTCTTTGGGGAAAAAGAGAACTTAACTTTCCATTATTACTGAGAGTGAAGCTAAAGTCAGGGGTTGGCTATCACCATATCAGTTCCCCATGTATATGTGGAGAGGATAATAATACAGAGTCATTGCAAGGATTACTGAATGCTTATAAAACGTATGAAGATTAAACAACCTATGCAACTGTTACATTTTTTACTGCTTGAGCCTGCTTATAGAACATTAAACTCCCGAAATTGCCTTAATAATTTAATGCACTGGGATAAAACATATAGGATATTTTCTCTCACAACAAGAACTGCAGCAGAAATTTGCAGAAAAGCTAAATTCCTGAAAGGATGGAGGCACATTTTTACCACACACTATTGTACTTTTTTTTGTTATTTAAGTGCTTTTGTGGGGCCCCATAGACACTTATGTTCTAACGGTCTTGTGATCTGAATTGTATTTCCCTGTGTGCTGGACTGGGTCGAAGTCTCACTTTCCCAACTGCATTTTTACTTACCCTGAATGTCATCATTGAATGTACAATATCTGCTGCGGTATTTGTTGAGGAGACGGAAAGCATTGGCATTGGCAAAATCTTCAAACTGGATTAAACAGTTCATTCCATACCTGTAGATAAAAGGACAATTACAAATGGATAGCAATTTCTTCACAATATAGGATGACATATGTACTTGCTATTCTTGCACGTACAGAAACACAAAG